CTAACTGCAAGTCTGGAAACTGTTGATGTCTGAGTAGCAAAGGTCTTTTTTAATCTTAGAATATTTAACCTCTGACAGTTTTCAATTTAGTTCCCCAATTACCAAGTAAAATCAGGTTTTGCTTGTTATGTATGTTGTAAATATGGATTTATAGATTAAGGTAAATGGGTGTTTAATGTAAACAATGCAAAGAATGGAACCGCTGTAGTGTTCGTCCCTGTAAGTGTACCTTTTCTAAGGAAGTTTAAGAAAATGTATCATCTTATAAGAAAACTGACCTTTCTTGTAAAAAAATTAAGTGAGATAATTTGAAAATAATCTCAACCCATCAATTAGTGTATTTATCACTACATACAGGCTACATACAGTATCTACGTGTCAACGTCAGTGTCCTGCGGTTAAGAAAATGAAAAAGATATTTTTTTCAGTTCCAAGAGTGATGCCAATGAAATGTCAAACATACCTGGTGTCCGTTTCAGAGGAGGGGGGAAAAAATAGATTATGTTTGACCGTCTAAGGTCAAACATAATCTGACATAATAACTGTGTATTATATACATACACTCAGTTCTAGGAGTCTAACACCAGACTTCAGTCAACATGTCCACGTGGAGACCCTGAGGTATCACTGCCTTCATGATTTGGCCATTACCTATATGTAATTGTAGTGAAAGATACTGATTATAATAAAGAGCCACTGAGCAAATAAGTTACATGCTTAATTGCATAATTTTGTAAGATTTTGGTACATGCAGCACACCGATGACGTGAATCTCGATAAAGGTCATCATCCACCACAGTGTGCAGTATCTAATCATCGTTTACAAAGAAGAGGGCGTGACTAAAGAGATCCGATGTCTCAATTTACTGTCAGACATGTGTCCCTGTTGCACATTTAGTGTAAAATAAAGTCACGATGTGCTTAGCATCAATGGCGTCAATAGATAAGGTGCGATGTGATGCAGGAGGAGCATAGTTCAGCACTGATAGCATTATAACCACTAACCTGACATATTTGGAAGCTCCTTTGGACCTAAGCCAAGCACTCTGTGTGAAACAGCCTTACATGTATTGATGACGGCTAACCGAGATTTTTGGTATCAAGGAACTGGACTGGACTTGACTGTCAAAATAAAAAATAAAAAAGTCATGTTTGTCAGAATAATACACATCATGTACATATCCGATGAAATTATCATTTTTCACTTCCATAGTTGCATACTTTATACCTTTGCGGCAGTGTGATAAATATTCAGACGCTTTACTTATGTTTATGAAGGAAAGCCGCACTCGAAAAGTACTGCAATACAAATAAAAGTCCTGCAAGTAATTATCACGCAGAAGTTTCAGTGTTATATTATTATAATATTCAATCATTATTATTGATGATTCAACATGTAAGGCTAATATTGTATTTGGTCAAGGTGGAGCTAATTTTAGCTGCTTTAAATACTTTAACTACTTTAATTTGATCAATAACAATGCATCAAGGCAAGACCAACAGGAGGAAATGTTGTTTTTCATGCACTGATCAATTTTGAGATTTAGTGCCATTTTGTTTCCATAACATCTCTTTAAGATCGAGGTGGAAAAAGAACATTCTAAAGGTGTTTATTTTTCTACACTTTGTCTATTGTGTAGAGTTCTCCTAAATTCAACAAACATTAGCATTAGACAATGCCTCATTTGCATATTTCGAAATAAAATCTTAGAAAAGTTGTAATCCAAAAAAAGGTTGTCTTGATGTAAGTCATAACTGGGGAAGTTTCATTTTAACCTATTCACCTGTAGTGTTATACAAAATATATGGAATTTTACAATATATCTTTAAATGCCGTTTCCAAAATATTTTTTTTCCTCATACTCATACCAGTTTCATTCCTGTCTATATTCAGAAAGTTTACAGAGAGGTTTGTTCATATTTCAGTCATAGCCTGATTTATACAACATGCAAAAAATAGTCTTAATGTAAGTAATCAACTGGGGAGGTTCCATAGTTAAATATTTGAACCTATTCACCTGGGGTGTTTCCCTTTGATGATCATACTTTTGTAAAAATATCCCTTTAAAAAGTAGCTATGTCTTTCAAATAAATTGAGTTAAATGTTCAATATTTAACTCTGATATGTAGTTGAATATAAATACAATAACTTTTTATTTCCATCTTAGTAGCTGATTGAATAGTATCCGAAGACCTACTTTTTTAAAGGTATTTTGTTCATGGGGCAGAAGTCACCAGCTTTCACTCTCAAGCAGACTGCTTTCCTGTAATGTCCAGTTTTGTTTTGATGTAATTTTCCATTTACTTCTCTACTAAGTACCCTATTGCCTCACTTGATGTCTCTTTTATCCAGACCTTCCTTTTCTTAAAAGGGAAGTGAGTCAGACAAAACCCTATGTGGTCCATCTTGTAAGTTAGCATGCAACAGAACAACAGTAGAGTTGGTTGAACTGCAGTAACCCTGTGACCTGAGTAAGAACCAAGAAGTCTGTGTCTGATAGTTTGATATCTGTTTTCACACCAAGTGGTCTGCTGCAAAGGGCCGAATGCCTATTTGATGCGAACTTGATCTATAAGGTGCTATCGCTATCAAGAATAGCCTACAATTGAGTTAAATGAGCCTTCACATGCCTCAACACCCACATATTACCTCTGAAAGACTAAATCGCCACCTCTTTTGTCATGAAGTGGCCAGTGGGTTTATGTATGAACCTGTGCTTGCGTGCATTTAAGCTCCTCTTGAATAATTGTAGGAGGCATAGGGCGTGAAAGTGCACGTCCTGCGTGCTCCCAATTGGCAATAACAAGCCTACAAAAAGGCTGTTTTTGTGTTTGGCCAAGGGCTCATGTGGTGACTGATTTTGTGTGCCAGCTCTGAAGGGGAGGGGAAGGATAAAGGGGTTGCATTAAGAGGGAAAATCTCTGTATGGGGTGTTTTTGGAGGGTTACTTGCAGTCATGGGCTAGCTAGCACCTGCTAGTTTGCTAGACGGTTTTTTTGAGTTGCTGGGCAGTACTCACAGCGCAGACACCCTATAGGAACAGACGGAGCAGAAGTGCTGATCTGGCAGGATGCTTGTGGTTTTCCTGTTTTTCCAACCATGACTGATCTGTGCAACAAAGGACAGTTTAAAGTAGGAGTTTCACTTGTCTGTTGTTTGCCAAATAAATACTGGTTCCTGAAAGAAGTGATGTCATCGGGGGCAAACACCCACCATGGTGTTAGTCATTATTTAATTTTACATGCAATGACCTTTAACCCAGATAGAAAAGGGTAAACATGTTTTCTTGTAACAGAATGAGGCTGCTTGTAGAGTAAAGAAGCTTAAATGAACAAATAATTGACTTTCAGAGACATATCAATGTCAATTAACTTTGCATGTCTCTACAGAAACGTCAAATTCCACAAGTCTTTAAGATTATTGTTTTGGGCATTTGCCTTTATTTCTGTTAGCGTACAAAGAGTTAAAAAGGAAGTGTGAGAACATGGGGGGGGGGGGTCATGTCCAATCCAAGTGTCCAGTCCGATTCGAACCATGGATGTTGATGTGCAGTCCCATGCCAACTCAAAATCCCGAATATAGCATAATCCAAGCATTAATTATATTACATTGATTCTCTAATTGTCAGTTCATGTGATATTTATGAATTAATATTTCATTGTTTATCTTAATTCAGACACCTCAAAGTGGTTCTTAAGCAGTTACCATCTCCTTGATTTAAATTAATCTCAGAAAAATGTGTGTTGTGCTCTTGAAGCTCACAGCATTTGTGTTTCTTTATGAAGCAAATTAGGTTTACTTTATCTTCCAAAACAGAAAACACAGCTGCAACTTTGTGCAGCATGGATTCAAGCGGAGGGGTCAGAGGATAGGAGAGGAGATGAACAAAGGACAAATGGTGTCCTCTACTGGCCTCTGCTCTATACTTCAAAGGAAAAATCCTGCTGAGTTTGAGCATAAACTTTTCTTTTTTTTTCATTTGAGGAGTGACTGATCTGAGTTTAGAACATTCATCACCATCTCTTCCCCTGAGGCGATCCAGATGTGTAGCAAGCTGAAAATCTCACGAGTTGGGTCCTTTGCAACCGCTATAGGGTCGTAAAGTTATGTTTCTTAATCACCGTATGACCTGTCAGAAAAATGAAAAGTACATTTAGAAAGACCCATACTAAAAAATTTTAATCGATCTTTTCTGGCCATTTTTGCCTTTCTTTAATAGCTGATGGTGAGAGACTTGACATGCAACAAATATCCCCTGCCAGAAACAAACATAGCAGTTCAATGATATGCATCTTAACCGTAAGGAGGATGCACATGCTTCCAAACATATGCTTGCATATGGGCACACTCTCTACAAACAGCATCTGTGCAAATATGAATACCTCTTATTGACATGTCTGAGCAAAGATGTGTATACAAACGCACTGAGGCATGGCTTATAATGTAATATGGGCCTAGATAAAGGTAGAAATGATAGTGTCAACATAATGTGAATTCAATCGAGGGCACAGTGTGTTCCCAAATTCCTGCTTGGATCAAGAGAATGGAATCTGGGAACAGATCTTTACAAGTCTGGACTAGCAAAAGTGCAGGCCGAGGGTTGTGGGGTTTGGCTGCGTGAGGAGTGCTAATGGAGAAAGGGGGAGGATTGGGGTGGAGTACAGAGGGCACGAATAGTAAAAAAAGAAAAAGTAAGATTCATTACTTCTGTAGAAACGGAAAGACCCAATTCAGCAAGGGGTGTGGTCAAATAGGCCAATAACTTCCGATAAATGCAGTTGTATAATTAGTCCTGTCACCTTATGCAGCAATTGCTAATGTAATGGGTAAAGATGAAAACGTTTATTAGAAGTTGCTCAGGATGATATTGTTATTATTTAGTCATTCAGTTTATCTAAGACATCTTTGTGAAGTCTCCAATTGTTAGTGTAACTGAACCTCTTCTTAAATAATAGATTACACTTGTGTTTGATCAGAGACATGAACAGTGGAAACGGAGCATGTTTTCTAAGTTCTTTATTCACTCAGCACTGTTCAGCACACAGACAGTGTGCTTACAGTGAGCAGCATGGTGGGCATGTGACACACAAGGGACACTAAAGTCAGACTAAAGAACAGACAGGCAGCATTACAATAACTGATGCATCAAGTTTTACATTATTCTTCTGTGTGAAGCACAACAAGAAATGCAGAGAATACAGAAGGACACTTTAGTGGTTCACCTAAAATCCCGCACACCCCCCCCCCATCTTTTGATCATAATCATTATTCAGTGTATTTATTGAAAAGAAAGACACTTGTGCTAGGTGCATTTAGGAATGATATACCATGCCTATGAGGACAGCAGTTATGTGTACAACCAAACGCAATGTAGGAAGCTCAATACAAAACGTTGGGTGGTGGGTTGACAGCTATAACGGTTAATTACCAGTAGAAAAGCAAAGCATATTACCAAAAATAGTTTCCTGTTCGTGTATTAAATGCTGTTACTGACTGGGATGCTTGTGTTCAGTGATCAAGGGAGGTGACAAGAGAAAAAAGGGTGACTATGCAGTCAAGAAGCCAAACAGACGTTTATCTGATGGCTGTTCTGTAAAAGACGCACCTTATCCCCCTCCTTCATCTCATCATCCACTTATCCTGAACAATAGAGCACCCATATGAAGATATCATCAGTAACTCTCAACTCCCACCTTTCCCCCAGGGTATTAAGAAATCAGAGTCTTTCTTTAAGAAGTGGCGGTCTCCTTGACCTTTTCCATGACGTTCTCAATCTGCTCACGGATCTGGGTGGCATAGGGGGAGATCATCTCGGTCAGTTCGTCGATCCTGCCTTCCAGGGAGGTGCGCAGGTCCTGGACGGTGGCCTCCAGCTGGGTCTTGATGCCCTCAGCCTGGCTCTCCAGCTGCTGGCCCAAGCCTTCAGCCTGGGTCTTCAGAATGGTGGAGATGTCGCTCAGCTTCTTGTTGGCGGTGTCACTGGCCTGCTGGACGTAGGGCTCAACATTCTCCTTCACGGTGTCGAAGTTCTGGGAGGTGCGGGACTGGATCTCACCCAGGTAGGTGGCCACGGAGCTTAGGGGGAAAAAGAAGGAGACATTTAGATTTCATGCAAAGAAAAAAAAGTTTGATAAAGTGTAAAACCCTTCACCCCCACTTACTTGCGAATCGCCTCAGTGTCCTTATTCAGGCGTTTCTTCAGCTTGTGGCTATAGGTGCTGATGCGGCCGCGAACATCATCGGTGTTCTGGTCCATCATGGTCTTGAGCTCACCAAGATACTCAGTACTGCGCTCCTTGGCATCCAGCATGTCCTTCTGGAGTTTGTTGGCCAGAAGCTGCAGGTCCTGAGACAGCTGTCCAGTGGAGGTATCGGTGTAGGGGGTCAGCTTGGTATTGATGTCATCTCTGTATAATGCCAGCTCTGCCATGCTGTCGGTGATCAGAGTGCTGGAAGCAGAGGGACAAGATGGTCAGACATGAGGACAAATTAGGATTGTAACTACAGTTTAAGGTTGTGGGTTAGCAAGATTCAAGGTTTGGAAATGAGACCAAGAGAAAAGTAGGAAAGGGACATTGGACATTGGAGCATGTGGAGGTACTGAAACTAAGGATGTAGTGAACAAATCCCTGCCTATTGAAAACAAGCTGACAAGAGAATGATAAAGTGAACTTACTCTAGCTCCCTGGTGAGCTGAGAGGACTTGAGCTCCTCCACAACTCCATCAGCCTTTTTGTTCAGGTCAGAGACGTACTGCCAGAAACGATCCACAGATTCCTCCCATCTTATTGTGGTGGCATCAGCCTGGCGCACAACACGGGCATTGCAGCCTGTCATGGGCACAGTGGAAAGGTTGGATAAATATACAAATCTGATAAAAGAATTAGTGTTGTCAATCCTAGACCAAGTTAGTGCACTTACCAGTGATGACTGCCAGAGCAAGGATCAGAGCTACGGCCTGCATGGTTGTTGGATAGACAGATACTCCTGTGAATTAAAGAAGGGAAAGATAAGCAACAATGCAAAGGCATGAAGCAGAAATGCTACAATTTAAGCACAAAATGTTTTTTTTCTTTTTTTCTTTAAGAAAAAGCTCACTGTTTTAAATAAATATAGTATGGTATAACTGAGCAGTATAACGATTTAAAACGAGAAATTATCCAATTCTAACATGGATAGAATAATCAGAAAGACGTTTCTATCAACGGGGATTAAATGAGAACACACTATCTTTGCACGCCGTGCGGTCCTGACACTCACCTGAGGGGTTGAGCTTTCTCAGTGCTCCCTGTACGGTGACTGCGGGTTTTTATACACTGGCAGGAGACTGTTGCGCGGGCGAGGCGGAGGGGGCAGTTGGAGGGGGGGGGGGGGGTGGATGCCCGCGAGCATTCACGTGGTGATGATGATTTGTCTGCACAGATTCCTGTTTTCCCTCCACGCAACCTTTCACCAACACCGCGTCCGAAGTTCTCACAGGTTTATATTGTGTGAGGGGTTGATTAAGCAATCTGGATTTCACGAGAATAACAAGGTGAAAGTTTCACGACCGTCATGAAAAATACGTCTCTTCTTTTCATAGCGTGCAAAGCCTGAACAACAGTGAGCCTTACACGTGCTGCTGTTAGAGGTAGAAAGTAGAAAATTGCAAGTTACAAGTTTTTTGCTGAGGCTAATTTACTTTTTTCATTATTCTAAGAGGTTGGAATAGTTTGCATCTTTTACTCAAGTAGTAGTCTCACTACAATGTGAAATATTGTAATATACTCCAATACAAGTAAAGGCTGGTGAGATGAAGTATACCAATCATATTTATATACTGTTTTGTTTAAGTTTTAATTGTAGAAAAAAAAGCTTAAAAAATAGTCAACAATTAAATTTGTGCTTAAGTTCAATACTTGAGTAAATGTACTTCGTTAAATTCCACCATTGAAAGCGGAAATAAAAACATTTATCAGATCATTTCGTTCCTTCGAAAGAGGAACTATGAAGCATGATGGCATGATTTAATATATTCTGCAACAGTTTATGAAGAATTACATATGTGGCGACATCTCAACAGTGTGTGCCAATAATTGTAATTGAACAAGTGAAATTGGTGCTTCTGATTATTTCCATTATTTTTATGCACCTTTACTTTTATTATATAATGGTATTGCTACTTTTGCTCAAGTACATATTTTAGTAATTCCTCCACCACTGGGTATTGCAGGTTTTGTGTTAAGTGACCACAAGTTTGCAGGTTTTTCTTTGAACCTTATCACCAAGTGTTCTCATGTGAATATAAATCCCCCTGGCGCCAGGATGCAAATAAGCCTTTCACACTTGCATTGCAATCTAAATGGTATGCCGTTGCCGACCATTGACACCCCACCTATCTACCCCTTGCAGACACACAACCCCCCCAAGTCAATCCCTCTCAGGTACAGTAAAACAACTCTACAAAAGAAGGATTACAGGTAATAAAGTACAGAGAACATGAACTATTTGTATTACGTGTGAACTGGACAATGGGCCAAAGAAGTAGATTATACAGGAACCATGGAGGAAAAAGATGAGATTTGTTTATAGGTTACAATAAATATGCAGAGGACAAGAAATTCACAGGATTTTGTAATTGAAAAGGGGATGTTTGATAGAAGGTGGTTCCCTCAGCTTATTGAGCAACAAATGTTCAGTGGTAGAGCATAACTGTCATGAGTCATCAGTGTGTTTTGCTGCCATTAGTTATGATATTAAAAAAAAAGTTTTGCTCTGATTAAATCAATGACTGTGTTTAATGACCCTTGCCCTTTAGGACTTGGGCTCTGTGTTGTCAACCTAACATTTTTAAACCCAACTTTACACAGGAACAAAGTTTAAATGGGTTGGCTTGGTCAGATAATTAGTGTGAGAGCATGATAACATTAGTGTGTGATAACCCAAAGGGGTCAACTGTGTGTAAAGCAAACGGAAGACTGTGCCTAAATGTATAGTTGAGCTATAATGTATGTATGTATGTATGTATGAAAATGTTCACTGTTTAAACGCTAATCAAACAACAATGAGATTAAAACCGGTTGATAAAATGTGAAGTAAGATACGATAAGATTGATCTCAGTATGTTTAGGTGTCACTTTTCTGTTAAAAACCATTGACCTTGATATTCCACAACAATATTGTGTGGTGTGTGTCACTGCAGGTGTGTCACACACAGAAAGACACTGTATGTTCAGCTAGATAACAAGTCCAGTCCAGTTCAAACACACAAACAAATCAAGATCAATAATATAATTCCACCTTAAACATTGTCACGCAATGACTTTTTTTGTTTTGTTTTAAGAACATGTTTGATCTCTTGTGAAACATTCACCTACTCTACTAAGATGCATTTCCAATAATAGACATAAACTACATATTTCGTGCTTGCATTCTGCAGATGCGATGGACCACAGCGACCAAACTACACATAGGTCACAAACCAGACACCACAAACCCAGAATGCCGTGCCTGGCTTTGCTGAACCTCCGGGATAAAGAGTCAGAGGTGTGGAAGTGAAACAGAGAGATTCAAGAAGAAGCATGAGGTAATACAGTAAGATATCTGCCACAGTCATCGAAACTACAGTGGCTTCTCCTTTTGTTCCACAATAACAGAGGCAACGATTGATGTCTACCAAGAACAAATGTGTGAGAGGGCATCTTCATATGAACAAAAGTAACCCCAGCCTGATGATGGTTTCTGTAAGCTGGTTTCAAGAATTAGGTTTTTTGTTAAGTCCGGATGATCTCACCCCTCCAAACAGGCAAACATCTGTAGAAATGAATCAGTGAGGTTACTGCAGTTAAGTCTGTGGGTTAAAAGTTGCTAAACTGGGCATTGAAATTCAGAATCGAGTGTTTTTTCAGCAGCATATCCCCCGTTTATCTCAGAGTCAGCTGATGTGGGACGTGTGCAGGCTGAGACAATTGTCTGAGCAGGGCTGCTGTGTTTGTAGCACCGTCGCGCTGTAATGAAGGGCTTTGATGCGTAGCAGCTCATGAATGTCCATCAACAAAAGTAACCCTGAGTCACATTGCTGCCTGCTGTCATTCCTTTTTTTAATGCTTAGAGTAAGAGGGTAAGCTGATGTTGTCCTTTTAGACTGAAGAATAAAAAGCCTCATATTCAAGCAGAGCAGAAACTTGATTGGTTGGCAACATGTTTCTTAATGATCACAAATATTTAATTTGGTTGAGTATTAGTTTAAATCAGCGTGAATTACATCTAATTAAAGGATTAGCTTGACATTTTAGGAAATACGTTTGTTCGCTTTCATGCTGAGAGTTGGATAATAAGCCTAATATCTAATGCCATAGAAAGTAATCATAAGTGACCTGCAGTCTACATGGATTTCTCTTTAATTTTTCCTATCCATTATCTCCTGTCTGATTGCACAATGCTGGAAAATACCATCTTGTATTTGCTTTTCAGAATCGATAGGGGTTTTTTTTTTCTTTGTCATTAATTTACTTAAATAATTATGTAATAACTGGGTTCGTAAAGCCTAAATCAACATTTTTCTAGGTGCAAAGTGCAAACTCATATCAAGACAAAATAATTGTAATAGTATAGAACAAGAAACCCATTCGGCATTCATATTAATAAATCAGGAAAGGTATTACAACTTTTAACATGCAGATTCAAAATATAACCTGAAACATAATCAGACATAATAGGAAATCAGAAGTGTGTGTGTGTGTGTGTGTGTGTGTGTGTGTGTGTGTGTGTGTGTG